AAGAAATGAATGCCAATAGACCATATTCGTATCGCTCCATGCAAGGGAATCCAAGACAGTCTTGGATTCTGGATCCTCACCATGGATTCCGGATTCGAAGAACTGGATTTCGGATTCTTTGTTTGTGGAACTTGTATTCTGGATTCAAATGGTCAGTGGGACTCCGGATTCCTTTAGCTGTGTTCCGGATTCCGTAGCCCAGGATTCTGGATTACACAATTCCTGAATTTCCCGGATTCCGGATTTCACAAACAAACTGAATATCCCGGATTCCAGAATACGGATTTCCTTACATGGGGCGAATCTTAACCCAGGCGGTCGGGGGTGAGTGGGCGACTAGTCTCTCGTAAGGGGGTGGGGGGGGGGGGATCATTAAAACTCCCAAAACATTCCCCCGAATGAGCCTTTAAGCAATGACCACATATAATAGTTTTTAGTATAAACAGAAAGTTTTTCATAAAAGGTTAACTGCAATATGCAACTTGACTGAACAGTCTAAGTACATCGATTATAAAATCAATAAATATTTAACTGATATTTTGTTGTTGTTAACTGGTATCCTCTGTTGTTTAATTCCTTTTTAAAGTTTCCATTAATCTAATGTTTTGTTAGCCCGAAGTAGAGACAAGTTGTCATTGCTTTAATTTCCTCGTGTCTCGCGCGCTTTTATCAGTATTACTCATTACCATCTCAGCGTGGTCGAGAGTGAATGTTAATGAGGAGGTGAATAAGGGTATGCAAATCGTGGTCGAGAGTGAATGTTTATGAGGAGGTGAATCAGGGTATGCAAATCCGCCGATCCGTTATGGTCAAGAGCCATAATGGGATGGTTATGATTTATTTTCAAATTTGCCGATGAAATTTCCCTCTGAATCCGAAATACGAGCAAAATATTTTTTAAACACGCAAATTCCAAAATCCGGGCTCAAAAAATGGATGAATCCGCAATCCGCTGCCATTGACAGATCAACAAATCCGGCGTTAAAATTTCGCTCTGAATCCGAGCAGAAATATTTTCTAAATCCGCCGATCCGTTGGCCTATTCATCCGCCAATGAGCTTTTATGAGACTCAGGGTATGTCTAAACTAAAGCAGGACAGTCCTTGCGCACGCTGCGTCTGTATCGGATAGGGGCCGGATTCAGGGGAGGGGCCCGGGGGGCCCGCCTCCCCTCATTTTTTGGCCAAACTGAGGCCTGAAGGGCCATAAAAAAACTTTTTTGAGACCCCCCGTTTTTTTCGGAGCGGGTGTTAACATAATAAGTCTCTTGTCTGCTTATCTTGCCTCATCTCCTAGGGAATTTAACACAGTCTTGGATTCTTGATTCCACGCCGTATATTCCGGATTCTAGTCAGCTCCACTGTGGAACATGGATCTGGATTGTAATCGTCAGTGGGATTCTGGATTCCTGGAGCTGTAAAATTTTCCTGTACTCCAGATTTCACAAGGAAACATTCCGGGATTCCCATACATCCCATATAGCGGATAGTCTTTTCGGAACACTCTTCGTGGTATTGCTCCCCCCCAGCTCGTGCTCCAACTTCACCGGAAAAGACTGGAGAGGAGATTGAGTAACCTCTCTGATTGAGCCCGCAAGACCCCATATCAATACGAATGTGACTCATTTTGTTGAGTAGTTTCTCTCAGTTGTAGCAAGTGTTGTGTTAATGTTCATGAGTTTCGTAAAACATTCAGCTCGCCTCAAGCATATCACACGCCACCTGAATGCACACAAGTCCGTGACAAGCGCTGCTGTCGCTCGTGTCTTCAGTAGGTCGACAAGTACAGGTAGGCTTCAGCGGCCCATGGTTTTGCTTACCGGCGGAGGGAACGGCATTTGCAAATGGATGGGGTGGTGTTGCTTCTTATTGATTCTCTGTTTTGAGACGTTTTAAGCCGTAAAGTAAATTAGTATTAGTTTCTTTCTGACAGGCCTTGACAATGAGCGCATTTAGAAGTACCGCTCAGACCCCGTTAATACAGACACTGGAGGCGGGGGGTGGGGGGAGGGGGGCATAGAAAGTTCCCTTATTGCTGGTTTGCACGTGACGTCACGGCGGCCATGTTGGTGGTCAAGAACAAAGGCATTTCTCTCCTCTGGGAACTACTCTATTTTCATGCAAATTCTTCAAGGAAATATTCTTTTCTTTTGACCCCCAACATGGCCGCCTTGTCACGTGGTTGCAAACCAAGAATTAACGAGGTGTACATATTAAGAGGGTTGAATTTACAGAAAATGTAATACACCAGTCAATGTTAAGCCCCAGGAAAGGGGGCCAAAGGGGGGATTTAACATTCTGGGCCATTTTCATGTCAAATTCTTTGCCCAGGTGGAAAAAGATTGATGTCAAATACCCCTTCCCTTGGGCTACATTTTGTTTGATTTAAGATGATTTAAGCATTGACTAGTACATAATTATTGGGGCTTACTTTCCCCAGGGACAAAGCAAACTGTCCGTAATAATGAGGTGTTCATATTAGGCAGGTGTCCGTAAAGGGGCACTGCACACTAGATGCATCAATTCATAATGATTCCTTGACCATAACAGGGTTTGAGCCAGGCCGCGCCATTGCGCCAATCCCGCACTGCAATTGGAATTGTCCCTTTAAAAAACGGCCAAGGGGACAATTTGTCCCCTTCAAAATTTAGGGGAAAAACTCGAAAGGANCAATACGAATGTGACTCATTTTGTTGAGTAGTTTCTCTCAGTTGTAGCAAGTGTTGTGTTAATGTTCATGAGTTTCGTAAAACATTCAGCTCGCCTCAAGCATATCACACGCCACCTGAATGCACACAAGTCCGTGACAAGCGCTGCTGTCGCTCGTGTCTTCAGTAGGTCGACAAGTACAGGTAGGCTTCAGCGGCCCATGGTTTTGCTTACCGGCGGAGGGAACGGCATTTGCAAATGGATGGGGTGGTGTTGCTTCTTATTGATTCTCTGTTTTGAGACGTTTTAAGCCGTAAAGTAAATTAGTATTAGTTTCTTTCTGACAGGCCTTGACAATGAGCGCATTTAGAAGTACCGCTCAGACCCCGTTAATACAGACACTGGAGGCGGGGGGTGGGGGGAGGGGGGCATAGAAAGTTCCCTTATTGCTGGTTTGCACGTGACGTCACGGCGGCCATGTTGGTGGTCAAGAACAAAGGCATTTCTCTCCTCTGGGAACTACTCTATTTTCATGCAAATTCTTCAAGGAAATATTCTTTTCTTTTGACCCCCAACATGGCCGCCTTGTCACGTGGTTGCAAACCAAGAATTAACGAGGTGTACATATTAAGAGGGTTGAATTTACAGAAAATGTAATACACCAGTCAATGTTAAGCCCCAGGAAAGGGGGCCAAAGGGGGGATTTAACATTCTGGGCCATTTTCATGTCAAATTCTTTGCCCAGGTGGAAAAAGATTGATGTCAAATACCCCTTCCCTTGGGCTACATTTTGTTTGATTTAAGATGATTTAAGCATTGACTAGTACATAATTATTGGGGCTTACTTTCCCCAGGGACAAAGCAAACTGTCCGTAATAATGAGGTGTTCATATTAGGCAGGTGTCCGTAAAGGGGCACTGCACACTAGATGCATCAATTCATAATGATTCCTTGACCATAACAGGGTTTGAGCCAGGCCGCGCCATTGCGCCAATCCCGCACTGCAATTGGAATTGTCCCTTTAAAAAACGGCCAAGGGGACAATTTGTCCCCTTCAAAATTTAGGGGAAAAACTCGAAAGGAAGCACACACGAAGAGATTTATTTTAGTACAGAAATTGCAAGCTGAAACAGAACGTGGAAAGTATATTTTATCGCACCTTTAAAGTTCATTCCAAAGTTACGCTTCAGTCAAACTCTACTGCTATTTTTGTCGGAAATCTAAGACAGGGCTTCTGATTCTTCGCGCGGTCGCGGAGCCACGACATTCACAAAAACACGAAAAATACTGCGAAATTCGGTAGAAATCTTATCAAATACATGTCTGTAAAACATATTTGAAACTTATTTCAGCTATAGGGGCTATTTACTTGCCATAAACTTGCAAATTTATCTTGGAACTTCGTCACTGAAACGTGCAAACAGATTATGTTGCAAAAAACTAAGCACTAGCCATGATGTTAAAGGCTTTGCCATTGGTTCATTTCTGGAGCGTATTGTTGTTGAAAGAGCAAATGATGAGCTCTGTTAGAAAAACGTTAAAAAGGCTGGTCTGATCAGCGCAAAACCGATCGATTTCTAGCGAAATTTGCCTTGAAAATAACCACAAAATCGGCCGTTTTTTACCGATTGCTTTTCGGTGAAGTTTGCCCCGAAAACTCCCGCGCAATCGGCCGATTTTTCTGCGAATTTGTCCCTAAAAATCCCGCGAAATTTGACTTTTTCTTCCGAGACCTATCAGAAGCCCTGCTAAGAAGACAAACCCCTTTGCATCAGCAGAAGGGTGTACAAATTTCTGTCCCCCTAAAAATGAAAATGTCCCCCAAAAATTTAGCCAGGGGGACAAATTGTCCCCCAGTGATCAAAGCCTAGCTCAAACCCTGCCATAAGTCAAGTTCTAGTCAACTCCTTAATACCTCCTGTCAGATGGGGATTTAAAAATCAGGTTTAATTTGTTTGTTTTGTTAATGATCATTTGAGCAGAGTACTTGACTGAGCAACAGTTGTGCAATCGGCAAGAAAATCAGTAAAGCTTTTTCTGAGGTTCTGCGGCCTTCAAGCAGAAAAAAAAATGTAGCGTTTCCTCCCCCATCTGCTCCATGAAAAGTTGTGCTGCTGCTTGAGCTATCAGTAAGAAACAAAAAACTCCCCAACTTTGAATGTTGGGGACGGGGGAGGTTGTGGGGATTGTTTTAATATTCGAAGTAGCCCATTATTTTGATGACAGTTTCTTAACAATGTTTTGTTGCTGTTTATAGCTAGATTAACAAGGCACACAGTTTTTCTCCTTAATAAACTAATGCATCATTACCGCTTTACCATAATGATAGAGCTCTAACTACATCTTCTCATAGATTCCCAGGAATATGATTTAATTGTCATTGGTGGGGGATCAGGTGGTCTTGCCTGTTCAAATGAAGGTGAGAATTATACAAGCCACCAGAATATCAACTCCTACTGTATGTTTCAACTTATAAAACTTATACACTGACTTTACCCATGATACCCATTACACAGGATCATTAATTGTGCTCTTTCATATTGTGGGGAACGGGTATGAGTGCATGTATTATGTACTTGTTAAAAAACGAGCAGGAGTGTGTATTTATTGATCAGTTTTTAAACCTTGTAATACAAGACTGCAAGTTTTTTTGAAGGGCTTCAAAATCTCTGATTTTAAGATCAACTTATTCTTGTACTAATATTTAGATTTGGGATTATTTTGGTCCAAAAAATTGGACATAAAGATTAACTGTGTCTTTATCAGATATAACCAGATATAAAGACACTCATTAAACATTGATTTCTTTTGTTTCTTTGTTATGAATTGTGAATGAGTTTTGACAGGATTTTCAACACAACACTTACATAGTCCAAAAGAGTGCAGATCAAGCTTTAGAAATTCTAAAAGTTGGTGTTAATCAGCCCAGTTTTAAACAAGATACAGACATAAAAAAACTTCAAATTAAATAAAAAAAATATGTATGGACATCCAGACAGGTGTCTAGGTTATTCAACAAATTCCTTTGTAAATTTTCAAGTTTTTAATTGGCTGTATCTTGTTCAATATCAGCTTTTTTTAACACCAAAATTAGGGATTTTCTAAAATCTGGTGTGGTCTTTCTTTTTAAATGGCGAGTGTGTATGTTGATAATCCCGTAATAGTCATGAACTTGTACCCTGAGTACCCCTGAAAGCCCACAATGGGGCAGAGAAGTGCTGTTTTAGTAGTTGCAAACTTTTTTTTGCTTCGGTGAGTTGCTTGACCAGAGACCTACTGTTACCTAAGGACGGGAAGCTTTGGGGTGTTGGCTTCTTTGCTCAAGGCATTGACCTTAAAACTTTAGGAAGAATGCCACAGACCCTAAGGGGCTATGTTGTCACAATACCGGATAGCCTTTCATGCTGGCACAAAAAGCTATCCTGTTATAGTAAGAACACTTGTCCGATATGTGACTCTCTAATTTAGAGATTGGCGTGGCTCAACTTCACTCCATTATGGAAATTGTGCTAAAATCACCACTAGTGAACTCATTTAAGCCTTCTCTGGCACAGTTTTTGTGCTGGCGTAAAAGCTATTCGATACAGTGTAAACATGCATGTAGCCTAATTCTCTTTTTTGTAGGCTGACCGCAGTGTATGCAATTATTTCCAAAGTTGATTTATGGGAAAACTGAAATGATTTTAATTTGTTGGCTTGCAGCTGCCAAATATGGTAAAAAAGTTGCTGTCTTGGATTATGTGTCCCCTTCACCACAAGGTAGGGAAATTATGATATTGTTAATGTAATTTTTATTCTAATTATAATATAATTTAAGCTTACATGATGTACAAGTATTACCATTTGTTCCTTTCACCAATTGCCAGTGAAGTACACCATGTAACTCAATATTCTTCAATAATAATTATTGTATTATTGTGTAATAATTATTGTGTAATAATTATTGTATATTAATTATTGTGTAATAATTATTATTATTATATTTATAACATAATTTCCTGATTCATTGACCATTTTGTGAATCTCAAGGTAGTGCAAGTACATGTACAAATTTAAATTTTTTCAGTAACCCTTCATAACAGATTAACAGGAGGTTAGTTGGAGTGTGTTCTTCAGGAGCTTACATGTGTATCTTTTCTTATTTTCCTGTCAATAACATTTTTGAAATGCCCTAATTTTTTAATTTTAAAATGATTATAACTAATTTTTACCATTTCGATATTGCATGTTGAAAACAAAATTAGAAAATCACATAATTGGTGAGAATCATCCACAATGTACCCATTAAATGAAGTCTGTTACCTCTAAGGTGTGCTTTCATGGTCCGTGGAATAGATCTTCAGTAGCTCAGTGCCAACAGATCTAGTGCCGGGGTAGACTAAACTTTTTTTTTTAACCTTGAATTTTGGTGCTTGTATTAAAGGATCAGCTTGGGGCCTTGGAGGTACATGTGTCAATGTTGGATGTATTCCAAAAAAGCTGATGCACCAGGCCGCCTTACTGGGAGAGTCAATCAAGGTATCCTGACAGTTAAACCAGCATGATATGTGCGGCCATCTCTGCAAAGCAACCTCCTATTATAAGTGACTACTTAATTAAAATATTAAGACATTTTATTTTTTCAAATAAAAGCAATACAGTGACAAATTAAGCCCCCTGGCCTGTCAGTATCCAGCTCCAGTAATCCACCTCCAAAATTTGCAGTTTAGGTTGTATTTTTTGTTCCGTGCATGTAATTGGAATTCTTTCAAGGAAAGAGAAATATAAGAAATGAGGCTATACTGGTGCACAAAAGTAACTACTGTACACACTCCATTTTGAGACTTGTGGTGGATGTGTCAACTGAGGAGAATAATATTATTTGGGTGTTTACTCATCATCATCATTTTTGGTTTGTTAGACTTACTGATGAAAATGTGTAACAAGGGGATGCACTCTAAAAAACTATTACATTGTAACTGACATTGAAAACTAAATAAATTTATGAAAGAAGGTGTATTATAAAATGAAAATGAACTCGATCCGGAAATGAAGTTTATTAAAACAGGCACATGTCAGTTAATGTTCAATGACTTTGCAGGATGCACGTCATTTTGGATGGAATGTTCCAGACAATATCTCATTGTCATGGTATGTATTCTTCCTTTGTGGTTATATAATTAATACATGTATTTAATTTTTATTATGTTAAATCAATTGCTATAAAGTTATTATTGAGTGTTATGTTGAAATAATATAATGCTAGTTTGCAATAATTATTAATAATTATTATTAAGATTGATATGAGAGAATAAAACATAAAGAATGAATTATTCATCCCTGAATCTCAATGCCATTTGTATTGTTTTATTCCCCTTAGCCTTGGAGTCAAGAATATTTAAAAACTAACCAATTAATTTTTTGGTTACTTCAAGTTTTAGCTATTAGTAAACTTTTAAATGAAAAGAGCAATTGATTTTGCAAATGAAAATATATTACTGGCATTTTAATCATCATCATCATCATCATCATCATTAAAGTTGCTCAATAGACATGTATCACTTTAATTGTACAAAGTTGACTTGGGTGAAGTGAGCAATGCTTGAATGAGTGCCAGGGATTAAGCTCATGGCTGGCTGCCAGCTTATTTCACTGGCTGAAAGAGAGCTAACCACCTGCAGCTCAAAATGCTGAAATTAAAAAGGCATGGAGATTGACTGATAAGAAAGCCTACTTCCCTTTTCCATAGCTTTATTAAAGTGCACTCTTCTCCTACCAAAGTGTCTTGTATTTAATAATTATTGTGAGATAAAGGGAGAATTTCACATTACATCAAAAATCATGATAGGGCCAATCTGATGTACCCCATCCTTACATATACGTGTACATAGCATGGAACATGTGTGTCATGTCTCCTGTTTTTTTTTTGTTTTTTTTTAATGACATGTCAGGGAAAAATTAGTCCCAGCTGTTCAGAATCATATCAAGTCACTAAACTGGGGCCACAGAGTCAAGCTACATAACAAGTAAGGAATTACAATTTAAGCGATATAATTCATATAAATCAGAGTACAATAATTGAATTATAGTGACAGAGACAGTATCTGTTGAATGTAAAATCATTTGTTCAGTGGGAAAAAATTTTATTTAAGATTTTTGAAACAGGCACAGTACCAAACTTCAAACATTACTCCTACAATGTGTACACTTTTTGCAATGCAGAATTGGTTGGCTTTGTCTGTCCATACATGAAGCTCGTGTACCTCTGACAATGTAGGTCTCATTGCATGTCCCGCTAAGAACTCAGTAAAGAGTTGAAACATCCAAATTTTCTTCCCAATAATGCTGCTATTTTATTAAACAAAAATCTCCCTTCTTCTCACATAATTACAGCAAGGTAGAGTACCTCAATGCAAAAGGATCATTCTTGGACCCTCACACAATTAAAGCAGTACTGCAGAATGGCACTGAGGTACGTTACACAGTGACGTAAATACTGGAATGATAGTCTCTAATTAGGTAGACCTCCTTGTACAGGTCTTGTAAGTGTGATAGAGAGATCCTTGGTTGAATGCGTAAGGAACACAACACAACCCATTTGTACTGAAAGCTCCACTGTTCTGGGATATGTAATGAGATGAACTTTAAGATGTTACAGCTGCTGTTACCTTAAAAAGAAAGAGATAATAATTATCTCAACAATTATTATTGAGTGCAGCCCACAATGGCCACGAGAACAATTACACTTAACACCAAACTGTGGTCTGAACTACATTTTCAGCAGCAGTGAATGGTCTTTTCATAAAAGTGAACTAGCCCACATTCGTTATATTGAAATTCCAACGTGACTCTGCGGCTTTAGGGTCAAAATTGCAATTTTTTTCAAGACGCCAGTGTCTTGCAATTCCCAGAAGAGATTTGAGCACAAAGGAAACCAAACCAAATATAGAAAAATGACCAGAAAGCCTCGGAGTCATGTTATAATTTTAATATATCTTATGTGTGGCTTTCAGTCTCGATTTTTCATCAGTCTTGAATTAAATTTACTCTAAATGCCACCAATTGTTTACGCAAAATTATTTTTCATTATTATTTTTCTAAAAATTAAAATTTACCGTTTTCAGAAAACTCTCAGAGCAGAGAATTTTGTCATAGCTGTAGGTGGAAGACCAAGATTTCCATTTGAGGTCAGTGAAGTTATTAATAAATTTATATTAAAAGTACTAGCACGGCTGTCGCTAAGGTTTCAAGTTGCCGTGTAGATACAACAAGTCGGGCAGGGAATCAAACCGCTAGGGATTTCTTTTGGTTCTATTTTTCTTCTATTTTCCTTTGGCAGTAGCCGGGGATGCCACGTTCTTATACAACCCTGACTAAATTTTGGGTAGCAAGGGCGGTGCAATGGTGAGAGCACTCGCCTCCCACCAATGTGACCTGGGTTCGAATCCTGGCGTCAACACCATAGGTGGGTTGAGTTTGTTGTTGGTTCTCTCCGTTGCTCCGAGAGGTTTTTCTCCGGTTTTCCCTTCTCCTCAAAAACCAACATTTCCAAATTCCAGTTCGACCAGGAATCAGGTACACGAAGAACCACTATTAAAGTGGATGTTCTACCTCCAAATCGTTATTGATTCATATCCCTCTGATGCAGCATGTGGTCTGTGATTTTGTTTACATTTGCCATTGCCTTGACACTAAAACTCTCTTTTGTTTACGTAATTAAATATTGAACACAATTATTTACTATTAATTTAATCTTTCTTTTTTTAAGGTACCAGGTGCAATGCAATATGGCTTCAGCAGTGATGATCTGTTTTCTTTGGAAAAGCCCCCAGGAAAAACGTGAGTATGATTGCTTCCCTGTCAATCAAATAGCCTGCGAGCAAGCTCTTCGATTACAGCAAGCGACACGAGGCGAGAGAGAACGCGCGAGGGAGCGGCGAAGTCGCGAAGAGCGGAGGAAAAGGAGATTTCTTTCCTCGCCCCTCGCACCGGGGTATCCTATCGCGTGGGGCTCTTGCGCGACTTCTCGAGACTTCCCCAAATGGAGAGCTTGCTCGCAAGCTATTAATCATAGCGCATAGAGAACAAACAGTATTGACAGTTGTTTCTGCGAGCCAGTGTTTGCGAACAATACTTTAAAAAACTACAATGTAATCAATAGTTTTGGATGGATAAACGTATGTAGAGTAGAGATTTGTAAGCTGTTGACTTTCTGTCTTATCGTGTTTTGACGTAACTTCAGTAAGGAACGAAAGTTAAACTGTAAAGATCATAGTCTCCATTTTTTTTTCTGCCAAAAGTGCGTTGATTCCAACAAAAAAAATACTGGCAGAATGTATATAGTTGTATTTTGTTCCAACTTGTTAAAAGACCTTGCAATATGCTTCTGTTTGCTTGTGCAATCTGCTTTAAAGCCTCGTTATCTTGGCTTGTAAAGTGCGCAGTCTCCGCCTTTCTCCCTTTGATATATGGCCTTTGAAATACGAACCTCAAAGTCGCCTAGTAACACAGGCGTCCCAAGCTCACGTTACGAGAGTGGACTGTAATTTGCATTCTGCACTGTCTGCAGCTACTTGTTATTTTTCTGTGGGTAAAGTGATTACCCTTGGTCATCTCGTCACCAAGTAGTCGACTCGCCGCCAACTAACTCGCCACCAAGTAAGAACTCTGTAATCAGTCTGGAATAAGCTTGGCGAAGAAGTAAAATTCTAGGTTAGTAATCCCAGGTGAGTAAACACGTCGATTAATGCAGAGTGGTGGCGATCGATTAGCCTTCTTGGAGGCGAGTTGGTTGGCGGCGAGTCGACTTCTTGGTGGCGAGATAACCGTAAACCACCGTGCGGATTAATTTTCCTTTAAATCGTCATCAGACTTCTCCTATAAAGATTTTAGTGTCACTTACTGTTACTAACAGCTATTTTGTATTCTTTTGCAGTCTGGTTATTGGTGCTTCATGTATCCTTTTACATTTAAGATTTCTCTTGTTTTTGCTCTATTCACATGATTTCGCCCTGCTCTCATTTTTGGCATAGTTGACTTTGGATGCTCCTTAGACAACTCTTTTGATTTTCAAGCGAATTTATAATTCAAATAAACATTTCGTTTCTTGCGGTGTTCTTTCCTTTTCTGGACTTCTAGAGAAAAAGGTTTCAGACTCTTTCTGCTGTTACTATCTCTACCAGAGCAGAAGGGAGCCACCGAAACCTTAGCCTTCTGTGATACAATTAATGGTTTTGCTGTACCTAGAGTACAGCAGAATACAGTCAGCTTACTGAATAATTCTACACAGGAAACTTTTCCCTAACAATATTTTATGGAAGACGTGGCATTGGAATGTGCTGGTTTTCTGACAGGCTTAGGATTCGACACGTCATTGATGATGAGGTCTATACCACTACGTGGGTTTGATCAGGTGAGACTCTTTCAAGCTTTCTAGGTAGCTATTCCAGGTGCAAAATCAAAAGCCAGTCCGAGAATTACTGCAGTTCACCTGACCTGCGATAACTGCTGCAAAGTACAGGCTGTCTTTTTCAGGCTACTCCTTATTTTTTTTCGTGGTTTTATGTACAGCGCGCGTAATTCGCTCGCGGTTAGTACGGTTGTTTATACTGAAAGAGGTTAAGCCTTCTTCCGATGGCAAANACAGTCAGCTTACTGAATAATTCTACACAGGAAACTTTTCCCTAACAATATTTTATGGAAGACGTGGCATTGGAATGTGCTGGTTTTCTGACAGGCTTAGGATTCGACACGTCATTGATGATGAGGTCTATACCACTACGTGGGTTTGATCAGGTGAGACTCTTTCAAGCTTTCTAGGCAGCTATTCCAGGTGCAAAATCAAAAACCAGGCCGAGAATTACTGCAGTTCACCTGACCTGCGATAACTGCTGCAAAGTACAGGCCGTCTTTTTCAGACTACTCCTTGTTTTTTTTCGTGGTTTTATGTACAGCGCGCGTAATTCGCTCGCGGTTAGTACGGTTGTTTATGCTGAAAGAGGTTAAGCCTTCTCCCGATGGCAAAATGACAAAACTTCTTACATTTGATAACTTGTTCCCACCAATACTACATTTTGGCTAAAACTCGTGGTAGAATGACGACGGCCATCACGTTTTCCCGCCGAAATGACGCTGGTTCTCGCGTGAGCAATACTCAGTATTGAGAAAATCTAAACAAAATCTCGTATTCGTAGTCGTCCTCGTCTCAGAGTCTAAAGCACTCTATTGTTGTGTGGAATTCGCCTCTTTAGAAACCAGCAGGAAACTGGGCCGAGTTAACGTTTGCAAAGACTTCTGGGTCTGTTACAAGGGTCACGTAAAGAGATTGGCCATTAGCTGACTGGTGCGCCCCAGTAACAATCCCAGAAACACGTGTGGGACATATTTTGGTTCCTTTCTCGTTTCTAAAGTGGAGAATTGCGCTATCGGTCTGTTTTGGTGGACTAATGGACCTTTTTACCGATATGGCGGCCATATTGAATTAATTCGATTTAAGGAGTATTATAGGATGCCTAGGGGGCATGAGCACATTTCGTTTGTATTTTCGTTTGTAGTTTTTCCCCAGAAATATACATTGAAAAACCATGTTTCTAATACTAAACTAGAAAAAGGCGATCATTATTACATCCAAACGCGGTACAAGAATCTTTTTTCCCATTGCAGCCTTATTCTAAGAAAACTTTAAGAAAAAAATTCCCGAAAAGCGCTCGAAAATACAAACGAAATGTGCTCATGCCCCCTGGGCATCCTATAATACTCCTTAAATTGAATTAATTCAATATGGCCGCGGTATCGGTAAAAAGGTCTATTTTGACCTAATTTTCTGTGCAACGTCGTCATAGCCAATGAAAGAAGAGAAATCGTCTTCAAAACATTCCCATAGTGCAATTCGACACTACAGAGACCCATGTCAGTCTCCCGCAAGACCTCAAAATCAAGTGCCATATGGGCAATTTTAGGGTTGTCCGTTAGGCGAGAGTTGGTTGTATTCCGAATTTTTTGTTGCTTGTGCTTAACTAGCAAATGGCCCAGCTCGTGTCAGATTACATGGAGAGCCATGGAACTAGGTTCTTGAAGCAGTGTGTTCCTGTCAGAGTCGACAAAGATGACAGCGGATTACTTCATGTAACTTGGAAAGAAAGTGAGACGGGCAAATCACATCAAGAAACGTTTGAAACGGTTCTGTTTGCAATCGGTAAGTCACAAAAAGCTAACAAAACCAAGAGCTCGAAATAGCTGCCGGTGAACAGAAAATGTTCGGCCAGAATGGGGTCTTGACCGGCCGGAAACTTCACTCGCCGGTCATGTTGACGGGTCACGACGCACACTCTCATTCTTGAACAACCAGCCAAATCCTCACCCGTAAAACTTAGATTTTTGTCTCTTTGTAAAAATGCAATTAGGAAATTGCACAAGGGTTAGGAAGCATATTTTTCCAATATTTTAACTGGTGATTAAAGAAGCTTGACCGAGCAAAAATTTCTTTGGCCCGTCATCGTGTCCGGCCACCGTCCGGAAGTCATTTTGAGCCGTGAAGAAGTCTGGCAAAGTGAATATCCGGTACACTTCATTAACTTTGATTACGAGCTACACCAAGTGCTATTGCAGCTATTAATTAATAATATTATTGCACGAACCTTCGATTACTAAAACTGCCTTTCATGTAGGTAGGGATCCAGACACAAGCCAACTGAATCTTGAGAGGGCAGGAGTTGAGGTACACCAACAAACCAAGAAAATTGTTGGAAACAACAGCGAACAAACAACAGTCCCGCATATTTTCGCCATCGGAGATGTGCTACAGGTATTTGATAAAACTCAGTTCATAATGGAGAAGCTCGTTCCCAGTGTCTTCCATCTCCCCTACGACCAGGGGACCGGAAGAGGAGATACCCTGGGAACAAGGTTGATAAGGCAGGGACCACAATCACCATGTCTTCATATATCCAAAGTATTGTCAAGCTTCCGCAACAATTGATTATTGGACTTATGAAATCGTAGCTGGGATACTGTACATTTACGTTCATAATCCCCTGGCTTATACAACTTCTTAAGTGGTTTTAGGGGGGCTCATATATGGTGGGGCTTATAATATCCGGTTGAGGGGGCGGGAGGGGGGGGGCTTGTAACTTAATTGGACGAAAGAGCGTTTCGAAACACGCCACATATAGCCTTGCTGATCAAAAGACTATTTAAGTTAACTCGCTTTCTTCAAGCTTTAAAACGTCGTAAGCATGGATCCATTTCAATACAAGCTAGAGGGGGGGCGCATCGGGGGGGGAGGGGCTTATCAGTGGAAGTTTACGGTATCATAATTTATTATGACTCAACCCGACTTCACTCTCTCTTTCCTCCAAAATAAAAAAAAAAAAAAAAAAAATAAAAAAATATATAAAAAACAAAATAAAATAAGAAACAAAAAAAAAAAAAAAAAAACAAAAAAAAAAATAATAGAAAAAATAAAAACAAAAAATAAATACATATAAACATAATATATATGTGTTTTGTAAACGAAAAAAAAAACGATGAGTACAGATAAGCAGACAGTAGACGGGGATGGGTGTAGGAGGGAGGGACGTGGGGGGGGGGGGGGTGGGGGGGGGGGGGTTTGCGTGGGAAATTTTCGGTATTTTAATTTTTTATACCCCAACCCCCCCCCCCCCCCCCCCCCCCCCCCCCCCCAAAAAAAAAAAAGGGAAATGTGAATCCAAGCCCAGGTTTCTGTTTGTCATTATTTTGGTGATGAAATTTAATTTTCCTTTAAAATTGGGTTTCCTTTCCTAGATTTTAGGGAACTTAGGAAGCCTCTAGGGCGATGAGAACGACAAACAAAACAATATGTTTCATGAGGAAAATAAAGGAGGTAAATAATTATCTTCTGTATGTAGCTGAGCTATCAGTTTGTTTTGTTAACAGGACAGGCCAGAGTTGACTCCAGTGGCCATTAGAGCTGGAAAGTTGTTGGCTGATAGGCTTTTTGGAGGCTCTGATATTTTGATGGACTATGATAAGGTTGGAGTAGAGCACTGAAGTATTAATTGCTGTTTTTTGTTAGTTTATCTTTTTTTTTTTCACTGAGTATTTGGTCAATTATACTCTGAAATAGGAGTAAATAGAATTAATAATCGAGAGATTGACTTGCTGTTCAAGTTTAATCGCAGAAATTGCAGTGTAAGGTCTCCTTTAGGCTTGTGAAGCCAATTGTTTTAACTATAAAGGTATCGCTTAGGGTCGTGCGTTCTCGTCATCGAATCTATAAGTCTTTAATGCCTTGCTCTCTAACTTTTTACTTGACAGGTTCCCACTACAGTGTTCACGCCATTAGAATATGGTACAGTAGGTCTTTCGGAAGAGAAAGCTATCGATATGTACGGAGAAGACAAAATCGAGGTACTGTAGGGTTGCTATATGGAAAGCTATGAGCGTCATGTTGTGGTTCAGTTTTATCCTTGGTTTAAATTTTTTATTCCTTTGTTTCAAACTCATTATCAAACATTACCATACCCCAAAACAAAGGAAAATGAAATTTAAACCAATGATAAAACTGAACCACAACACTATATATGAAAGTGAGACACGGCCTGGCGTATCGCCAAATCTGTATTAGTGTAACTTTTATAAAGGATTTAAGAGGCCACCCGTCAAGGTGCCAGAAACCGCCCCTCTACAAGGCGATCACTTTTTTAACAGACTCTTGGCAGTCTCTACTTCTTCATAGGGACGAAAGGTTAAACGCGAGGAAGGAAAGTAAATGTAATAAAGATCGCGGCGGGGAATGGCTTGTAAGAGGGAAGACCCCTTTTCCTTGATGCGTTTTGTTCTTTCAAATTTATGCAAGGAGCGAATGTGATGTAAGCAGTAAAAATGAGCTTTTCATTAAGCATTATTAACTTACTGACTAGCGTGAAAGAGGAGGGTGACAAGAGGAAGAAAGAGGAAAACTAAAAGACATTTTTAAGAGAAATACTTATTTCCTTCCCTCTGGGTCTCGCATTGCCCCTGGTATACAAGTTTCACTCGCGCTAGCGCTCATATATTTCCTCAGTGATTGGTCGGTTATGAGGCGCTCAACTTGTAGCTAGAATTATACATTTCAACGTTGCTCTTCGACGACACCGCAGACGTCAATTTCATTCTCTAGATTCCGATCTGTTGCTCTTCCAGGTGTATCATGCCTTTTACATTCCACTCGAGTTTATCGTGCCTGGTAGACACGCTGAGCAATGTTACATGAAGGTAAGTCTCCTGCTCTTAGCCTCATCAGTTAATCGGATCACAAAACTGACAAATCGTTTTCTCCTTTGTTGACAGGCCGTTTGCTTAAGGGAGGGAGATCAGCCTGTTGTTGGTCTCCATTTTATCGGGCCTTCCGCAGGGGAGGTCATTCAGGGCTTTTCTGCCGCTATGAGGTAAGTAAATCGGCGTACGGTCAACTCGCGCGCAGGATTAGCTTAGTTGGTAGAGCGCTTGACTGCAGAGCGGGAGGTCGCGGGTTCGATTCCCGGGGCCGGACCAACACTCAGGGTCTTAAAATAATTGAGTAATGAGGGTAGTGCCTTGACCCTGCGCAAATGGCTAGATCTTCGCGTGGCTCGGATGGCCACATAAAATGGCGGTCCCTTCTCCATTAGACGTAAAACTAGTGTCCCCAATTAGTACTTTCGTGCGAAATACATTGACACTCAAATAAAGTACATTTTTTCTCTCTCAGATGGACACCCAGGGTGCAAAGAAAATCATTCTTACAGCTTGCGATTCGGGCAAGCTGAAGCCAGCATTTACTAGCCCAGACGTCATTTTAACTAGCCGTGGGCTATCGGACACTGCTTTCTTTGCACGCTGAACACCTCCGGGACTGGCCCCGACTGTCCGTGTTACAAGGTGTCCGTCGTATATAGCAGTCCGTTTCATTTCGTGACAGTCAAGCTGCACCGTGTAAGATGAAATTATAATTAAGGCGCAACTACTCAAACGTAGCCTGCACAGCAAGTGCATGATAAATTGTGATATATTTAGGGCGTAGCAAAGGGCATTTTTCGCGCTCGCCACTTATTAAAGAGCCCTCGATAGGGTTCTTCAATCTTGTAATCCCGACTCAAAATTTCGTGCAATCCCGTAATCCCGAGGGTTATACTTGGCATCCCACTCCCGTGCATTCTTTCAATCCCAAAACTCGCCCCGATTTTGCTTTCAAATCTTGAATCCTTAACTTCAAAAAAACGTATTGAGGACCCTCTTATTAAGCGCCCGAAATTGTTTATTTGCCTGCCATGCATTCATACTCAAATGGAAACGTGAGAAGTTTTGTGTCGTTCTTTTGATTCTACTTAACAAGATGGGTATAACTTTTCAGTCTGAGGATGTAATCCCCAAATGTACCTTTGATGGCGGCAAATACTGATCCCTTATTATTTGTATTATTTTCTAGGTGTGGTCTGACATACGAGAGTTTATCCTCGACAGTTGGCATTCATCCAACTTGCGCAGAAGTGGTTGTGAAAATGCATATCACCAAAAGATCTGGGTTGGATCCAACTGTTACAGGCTGCTGAGGATAAATATACCCCCATATACAAGTTTTTCCGAGAAAAATAAGCCTATTTGACATTTAACCAGACAATGCTTTAGTTGACGCATCTTCTTACTATGATTATAGCTTTTGTTTGGGACCACGAAAAACCAACAAAATGCTAATTTAAATTTCTCGGGAATTTTTTAGCTTTTCAATAAGTAGTGTTTTCGCAGCAGCCATGTTGAAGCAGAAGACAAAATGATTTTAATTTTCCAAAGGAAAGTCGCTTATTTTGTTTACTCCTCCGACATGGCTGCTATTAAAGGGGTTAAACTTCGTAATATTTAAATGCAGAAGAACTTTGGGTGAACAGTTTCTTCTGATTCTCCTCTAAACGTGACTTAGTAGCTAGGGAACCTCTTTAAAATTAGGGTTCTACTTATTTTTACTATGTTTATTTTTCTCGGACATGCAGTGGGGGCACAAATATTATTTATCTAAACAGTCACTTGTGTTTATGACGAAAGGTTTTGAAACTGTGGAACACAAGAAAACCTCTCTGAATCCATCACAAGTGTATTCTGGAAATTGTCTTGTCGTTGTTTAGTCCGGAAGCTAAGACTGTCTAAAAAGCATACACTGCAGACTTGAAAAGCATTCGTCTTCCTTTAGATACCTTTTAAATAAACGGGCAAGATCTATGAAGAAAGGTTAAAATGATTAATTTAAAAAATAGAACCTGGCGAACAAAACACGATTAGGGACGGACCATTAGAAAAGTTATGGGGGTGGGGGTGGAATTTCCGCGCCGCGGCATGAATTTCTTTTCATTTAATTTTCCCCTGCGCGAATATTTTTTTGTACTCCTCCCCCCCCCCCCCCCCCAACCCCTGAAACATTTCATTACCTTACTGCCTGTGTAATACTCTAAAACCGAAATATATCGTAAGATGGNTTCCGAGTTCTAGTTCGGACGCTCTAACCACTGAGCTACTGGAACTAACCAGTCTTCAGTCCATATCTTTCAGATTCGACTTGCGCGGTGCAGTCGATTTCCCCTCGTTTGATTTTTAGCTTATTCAGAAAAGTGCAAAGAATAATGCAAAGGCAATTCACTGCAATCACTTATTAGGTTAGTGCTTTGCTTACTTGTTTGTGCTTCGTCCTCATCCGAGAAGACTGGGAGCGCTTACCATTTGCATGGAAAACCCGGAAACTCCGGTGAGAATTCAAATGGAACGGTTCATCCCGGTGGAAATTTTCCGGAAAAAAAGTAATACTTTTCGAGGTATTACCTTTTTCCCGTTCTTACCGAAATGACCGAAATTTTCTGTACCGTTTGTCTGGATTACTAGTGCCAGGCTTCATGTCGAGAGAAAGCGAAAAAATTTACCGGTATTTTGTGAATGGTACAACTCAATCCCGTTCCTGTTTTCGGTGCCAAAAAAACATATCAGTACCATTTGACGGAAATTTTTCACCGGAATTTCCGTACAAATGGTAAGCGCTGTGTCTAACGGCCATCAAAGGAATGCGCTTTAACTTTATCGGCGTTGGTGGATAGAGGTTTTATAGAGGGGGACATGGGGGTTTACGGTATTGCGGTATTGGGCTTTTTTTCATGCGGTATTTCGGTAATTTTAATTTTAACGTGCGGTATTGCGGTATCATCTAGCTCTGCGGTATGCGGTTTTTCATCATTTTGGCTGACGGTATTCGGTGAAATAAGATTGTTCACGGTATTACGGTACCATTTATTTGCGCTTTCCTTTCGATACAATACGCAAAACAAAACACAGTAAGATATAAAGGTCAATAAAAGTTAATATTTAGAAGTCTTGAGACATAACGGTAAATGATTACACCATTTGTGGGTCATTTTGTGACAGTTAATGGTCGATAATATACAATGTGCTTGTTGTTGCATCCAATGATAATGAGTCGTCTCAAGTTACCTTACCAGGCTTGTCGATCTGTGTACCTGTGCCGATAATTCGAGGTTCTAAACGTTTTCTCACAATGTCTGAGGTCGCTGAGGATGAAGACGGCGTGGTCATCATTGACTGTGTGGCAATTTTTCATGAAGAGGGCGAAGGAGGCGAACATTATCGCAACAAGAATAAGTTTAGATGTTGGGTTTCGAGAATTGAAAAACGCCTTGTAAAGTTAAAAGAGAAAATTTGGTAAGTTTGCCTTTTAACAGCGCGGCGTCATCCTCGGAGACCCAGGGGCAGATAAAGGGGGCGAGGGAAAGTCTAAACGGGCGGAAAAATATATATGGAACGAAGAAAAGTAAAGAACGGCGAGAAGAGCCCCTGGGACAATGTCTTACCAGACCAGTTCCAAACGGTCGCCGCCGTTCTGGCTTCTGATTGGAAAAACACAAGTTTTTTTATCCGCCCGTTTAGACTTTCCCTCGTCCCCACTATCTGCCCCTGGGTCTCCGAGGATGGCGCGGCGTGTGATCTGACCCCTGAGAGACTGACGTTCTAGAGTAGACTCACTTTATATCAAAACTCGCACTAGACGTGCGTGGAAAGGGTTTTGGTTGGTTTGTTTTTCGCGCTTTCAAGAGTTATTTTTATTGGAGTTAATTAGCTGTTGGGTCTAAATACCAAAAGGCTGAACGAATGTAGTTTACTTTTCAGTGAAAATTTGCGGAAAATTGCGAACTACCAAAATATTTAAAAAAACATGGACATCTGGTGCATAAATGCCTGAGATAATTAAACGCGCTAGATGGAAGCAACCATAAGTATGCGCAACCGATTATAAATGTGATTAAAATATGCGGTATCGGTATTTAGACGACTTTCGATGCGGTATTTCGGTATTTGCCATTTTTTCTTACGGTATTGCGGTATTGGGTACCCCCCAATGTCCCCCTCTTTTATACAACGTTTTGAAGCTTCACTGTTTTTTGCAAGTTATCCGAATTAATGTGGACGGGACCTTTATTAGATTGTCCGGCAGAAAGGTTTGTTTCAATTTATTTCACGGACTGAGAAACTTGAGTTTCATTGCTAAAGAGTTGGCAAGAGCTGCAAACGAACATAAAAATGAAACAATAAATGATTCGCCTTGATTATAAAAAAGGGACTATGCCATTACAGTTGTGATTGTACATTTAAAATCTTCTGACTAACCATTTGTTTATGTCACAAGATAGACAGCACATTATCCTCACTTATTTTGAGCCCCTTTGTTTTGGTCCGGCCGGGGTTTGCAAAATTCCGCGGCCTCCCGTTTGGCAGACAGGCTCTTATCCAACTGAGCTAACCGGGCGGCCATGCTATAAGAGAAGACTATACGTAAAATAGACGGCCTATTGTAAGGTTTGGTAAGACGTAGCGCTGCAGGTGTAGTAAATTAACACTCGACTTCGATGCCACTTATGTCGCCATTTCTCGTAACGATGGCAACTGTAACTAAATCGTGTGTCTAAAGAACAAAAAGATTTTCCGATTCAAAGTCGATTCGGATGTGAAAAAAAAAAGAGAAGAAGAGGAGAGAGAGAAACAACATGGGATACCCGACTGCAATCAACACATGTCGCTCCGAAGATGGAAAATAGTCGCGTATGGCTGGCTAGAAAGTTTTAAATACTTATAAGGTTAGGAAAAGAAATTGCCAAAAGTAAAAAGTCCAGGTTTCAAATACGGAAATGTTTTCTGCCTCTTTATACATTAACTGCAAATGGATTTTTGTTACTGAAATGCCAAGGTAACATTATAACTATTGCTATCGCGTAATAGGAAACCCGACAAGAAATGTGTACACCTCATCCATATTTAACAAGGGGCGTTTGTGAAGGTGGCCTTATTGAATTCGAACGTGTTTAGTCAGTTAATAGTGCATTTCGCAATACCACAAAGTTTTGAATAATTCATGGTCAATAGAA